GAGAGAGAGAGAGAGAGAGAGAGAGAGAGGGAGGGAGGGAGGGAGGGGGCATATACACCTTGTATGTGCTGCCATCTTTACAGGTCTCTGCTTGGATCATATACTGGGCATATTTCTCTGGTACCATGAGAGAGAGAGAGAGAGAGAGGGAGCATATGCACCTTGTATGTGCTGCCATCTTTACAGGTCTCTGCTTGGATCATATACTGGGCATATTTCTCTGGTAGCTCGGAGCGCATGCTCCGGAACCTATCCTTGGACTGTGTTAACACCTGCACAGGTAATACAGAAAGAGTTTTGAAGTTTTACCATAGTAAAAATGTTGGTTTTACAGCAGCAAAGGCCCAATACTTAGTATGTCATCAAGTTCATCTTCCATCCTGCAGAATGTTATCAATTTTACAGTAATTTTAATAATATTATTTAATCCTTGTTATCCAATTTATCCTCCACTGCCTCGGGCACTGGGTCCTTGAAATAATAAAATAGAAATGGTTACTGTTATCCATTTTTTTTTTTTTTTTTTTTTTTTTTAATACACTATGTTCTGCTCTCAAATTCTTTTTGCCTTTCACTACCTTCCTACCACTACTCCGAAGACTATATAGAGGGGACCCCTGCAAGCATAGGGCCTCGCAAACGAGGTCGATCATTCTCCATTGTTTTTATTTATTTTATTTTTATTTTGATTACCATGCGAGGAATATGAGCGAGAGCGATAGACAGAAATCCAAGTTGCAAAATCACGAAGTAGCTCAGATAGTCATGAACCAAGCAGAGAGTGCAATGCACCAAGATACCGTCCAAATAAGAGCAATACAATGAACTCAAATGTCAATGTCACCACTCTCTGGTCACACCAACAGTGTATCCGATGCCGCACTTACTGTCTGGCGCCCAGCGCCCAGCCTATCCTGCTCAGCCTATCTAATCCTATCTACGTTCTTGCAACTGGATCACTCTGAAGTCGAAGACCAATGTACGTGATGTCAACACCAATGCCGATCACCGGCATACACCAGGTACGTTCTCTCTCCTCTCGTCATCGCCCCTCGTCTCCCGTCAGCATGCGCCTCCTACCCGAAGACCACCTTCGCCATCACCTGCCTTGCGCCCCTGCAGCCCGGCTATGGCTGCTGTGTGCCCGATGCCCTTGCAGCACCCCTCACCCCCTGCGCCCGTGCGCGTCCGACCAGCAGGCCCATGCAGATGCTAGCGCAGCAACGCAGCAGTGTGTCCGCATTACCTGCCAAGGCCAGAATGCCTCCCTCTGGGCTGGCCTCTTTCCTTTAGGGAAACAAGTGGACCCCGCCACGGCTACGCCGTGGCGCACAGCAACACTCGCTGATGGCGTCTCATTTTTGTTTCATGTCTCTCTTTCTCTCTTTCTCTCTCTCTCTCTCTCTCTCTCTCTCTCTCTCTCTCTCTCTCTCTCTCTGTACCTGCGCAGTCACATCCGGCCACGCTGCAG